TGTGTGTGTGTGTGTGTGTGTGTGTCTGTGTGTGTGTGTGGAGCCCATCTGTCAGGTATGAACTCACCTGCACCTTTTATAGAAACAGGGGTCCTTGTTGCTAGGAGATCTTTAGCCTGGCAAAGAGCAGCCTGCTTACACACACATTAACACACACACGCACACATTAACACACACACGCACACATTAACACACACACACATTAACACACACACACACTCTGACATTTTCCAAGACAATGAGAGTAGAGCAGACAAGGCAGATGGAGGAAGAGAGGGAAATGGCTTGATTTACATCCTGGAGCCACTTTTGCGTCATTACACATCGATTTATCTTTTACTTTTAAAGTCAAATCCAGTGGATTTTATTTATATGGCCTTGAGGGACTTCACTGAGGAGGAATCCTTCTCCGTGGACAAACGTTTGGCTGCAGAGTCAAAGAGAAATCCAGGATTGTTTTCATTCCCTGGTGTAGTACGACCTACTTGACCCGTTCAGAATCTTCCGAAGAAATATTGTGATCATGGATTTCTACTCTGCACGCATAAATCATTGGCAATAAAACAAGTTGTTTAAAATTTGGCATTATGTGTATTTCAATGGACCGAAAATCTAAACGAGGAAAAGAAACACACAAAAAAACTGTATTTTACTGTCATGAATGGTTAATATCTATGAATAAAGTGATACTTTAAAACGTATCATATTTATTTATATTTCGTATCGGCCTCGTCATCTCTAATATCCTCAATATCAGAAGTGTCTCCATAAAATAGTATGTTCAACACCTCCTGAGTTGAATAATACATAATCAATAAGATGTGTTTTAAGCAGATTGTTTCATTAGAAAATCATAAAAACATTCAGATGTTTTTGAAAACAAAACCTGATTAAAAGCTATAAATCTTTTGTGTCCAAAACTGTTAATTTTTAAAAGATGAAAAGTTTTTAACATAATTGGACATCGAGGCACTGAATGAATCTATTCCATGTCATTTATTCATATTGTGTGGTATGAGATTCACATCTGTAAATCTGAGTCTGTCTGAACGTAGCGAGACGTTTTCAGACAAAACACCGGCTCAGTCCGATTGTGTCTCCACCAGTGAGAGGCTGGACGGGTCCCAAAGCAGACCCGGGTCATGTGCTGTGATGTCTGGCTTCTCAAGCGGACACACTCTGCAGCACAGTGAACGCAGTCCTCGGCTGACGGTGTGTTTCTACAGCACACGGGTGTCCAGGTCGCTTCAGCTGGATTCCTTCTGTTACCTTCTACGTTCCACTGGTGTCATAGATATGTTGTTTTTAATGGGAGTAAAGGTCAACACACCTCGGGGGTATGACGTCTGCTCCATCACTATCGTGTGTGTGTGTGTGTGTGTGTGTGTGTGTGTATTCACTAACAGGTTCACTAAGCCATTATGACTCTGAACACTTGGTGACAAAGACTGTGGGTTGCATGTTCAGTTTGTTTTGCTTTCTGTCGATCCCGTCGATCATTAAACCCGGCCGATAATATTTAACTGCTGCTCGAGATGTCGGTGTGATCGGTTCTCTGTCGTACGGGATTTCATTCTCGGCTCATGGCGAGGATGAAAACTTCTGACTGGGTTCAAGTCTGATTCAATAATTATATTTTTCTCCTCACAGCTGAAGAGTCCAGAACCAAATTTAAGTACAATTGTAAAGCCAGTTTATATACTTTTGGATGTTTGAATTGTGAATTTGGACAGCTTCTCTTCATTTTACTTAATACACTTTAAAGTAAAGAGTTCTTGGGTGTTAAAGGGACAGGTCACCCCAAAATCCAAAACGCATATTTTTCCACTTATCTATCTATCACTAGATTGTCTTGGTGCGAGTTGTGTAGTTTTGGAGATATCTGACCGTAGAGATGTCCGACTTCTCTCCAATATGATGGAACGAGATGGCATTCGGCTTGTGGAGCTCAAACAGTAAGACTCGACGGTAATGTCTCTTTTCGGTAATCCTTTAGGAACTATTTTCTGTTTATCGAACTACACCCACCGACCGTATCCCCGTGCAGAAGGAAGCGTGCATCCACTCATGGACTGGATGAAAACATAAATGGTGTAAAGTCCCAATCCGTTACAAATATGTGTTCAGGGGCTTTAAAGTTCATCTGCAAATATGCATTTTATTTTACCCACAGCTCCGATGTTTAGACCGAACACATTTGGTTTTCGGTTAAGACGCATCCGAAATGGATCAAGCTTTATCTGGACCATATAATGCTGCTAAATGGCATCACGGTCTCGACAGCAGTGACGGATCTCACAGATTAGAGCTCAGTCCTAAAGGTCAGGAAGTGGCGGTTGACGTTGCCTGGAAACGTTTGTGGCAAAACACACACTAGTCCTTCTGTCCTTGGTTGATTTTGTTAACTTGTCGTGGTGTTCCGCTCCACTCCTGCTGTTTGTAGGGTTCAGTGTTTGTCGTAGAACCTAAATGAGAGGTCATGTCCTCGTGCTGCTGGTTCATTCGGGTCCTCCAGATTGCTGAGAATTTAAATATCTGTATGTTCACTCTGGAAATATTCAGTGTTTATTGTGCAAACACTGATGGATTAAGTTTCTCTGTCCTCGGGTGGATTAACGGCAGATTATTTGAGGCTACGATGTAGATTAAGTGATATTTTGCCCCACACATGCAAACGGGACGTAGTTTTAAAGCACCGGTAATGTTTTGATATTCTAAAAGTCTAATCCATCTTCTCGTCTCTCTCTCTCTCTGTTTGCAGCTCTCTGGGGGTTGCGAGTTGACCGTCGTCCTTCAGGACTTCACAGCAGGATGCAGCACGGAGATGTCCGTCAGCACCGGTGAGAGAAGCCTCTCCGTCCTGTTCACACCTTTTAGTCTGGATCTGCATGTCGACTGTGTTCATTCATGCTTAAATCCAAAGATTATATGTTGGTTTGGGTTAAACTAAAACCTGCTGTCTTAGTTTTGGTTCATGTCATTTAGTTTTTTTTGTGTTGGTCTGAAAGAAAATTGTATTTCAAATATTTAAAATTGCAAGAAAGGATATTGTTTAAAACTACAATACATAACATTTTTACTTGGAAAATCATCTTAAAACTTGTAAAAGGAGATTGTCTGAAGTTCCAGTACCAGCCTGTAAATCAGCTGTCTGCTCGTCCCTCCAGGCCAGACGGTGGAGCTGTTGGAGCGGCCGAGCGAGCGGCCCGGCTGGTGTCTGGTCCGAACCACCGAACGCAGCCCGCCACAGGAGGGACTGGTTCCCAGCTCCACACTCTGCGTGTCCCACTCGCGCTCCAGCGTGGAGATGGACTGCTTCTTCGGCTCGGGGAAAGGTAGGAAAGACAAAAGCTGAGGTTTATGGACTCGGTTTGCAACAATAATGACTCGTTGCCTTCATAGCTATTGTGTAAAAGCAAAAAAGGTTATCTACTACAAAGTATTACATTTGAAAAGTAAAATTCTGAAGATGTATATGAAATAGCAAAAAAGAGCACAAACGTTTCTTCCTGTTCTGGCTCAGGATCAGCGTGTTCTTCACGGTGTATTGTAGATGAATGTGGTTCAGTTAATGACACCATGTCGTCACTGAAGAAAGGTCACATGGTTTTTTGTCGATGCCATATATTTGTCTCCGCTTTGCTCCCACAGCGGAAACATGCGGTTTAAAGGAAAACTCCCTTGAGACACAATTTCACACGTAATGCACAGATGTGAATGAAATTGAACAAAGGGGCCTGATTGGACGGATTTCAGCCAATATATAGTTCTGGAAAGTCCAGCTGGGATGTTTCCGTGAAATTCTGCTGAGACTCAAAATATAAAATCGGGAAGTTTCAGCCATTAAAAAAAGATAAATAATGGCTTCAGTGTATTTGGTCAGCAAGAAGGAGACATCATTGATTTCCTTGTTAGTCGCATCACTTCAAGTAATCTGATCTGCATCGATCTCTAGTGGTGAGATGTGGACATTACAACACGGAGGAACTCTGTCCGGTTCTATCGACCGAGTTGTGGAAGCCCATTCAGTAAAAGGGAGAAAGAGAAGAAGAAAACAAGATTCTAGAAGTTATTATAATGATAAGCTTTATTGAAATACTGACTTGGTATCTCAAAATAATGACTTAGTATAGCAACATAGTGAGAAACTCTCAAAATAATGTCTTGGTGTCTCAAAATGTTGAGGTAGTAATTTTTAAAATAATGACTTATCTCGGGATAATGACTTGGTATCCTAAAATAATGACTTAGTATCTAAAACACACTTAGTGTGTGTGAGAGTGTGTGAGACACCGTGTACAATATGGTTCTGGGTATTTAACGTCTGAGTTTGATTTAAAACAGAAAATGTTTTTGTTGTAAAATGCCAGCTGGTCACAACAAGTCAATAATGACGGAAATAAAGACTCATTCTTGATGGTTACCATAGTTTACACACACACACACACATGCCTACAGAGGGCGCTGTGGAGCCTGAGGTGACTGTTATCAATGCTGGACATACAGCAGGTTGTGTCTGTGGATGAGGATGCATGAGGATGAGCTGATTTCACCTCATTGCATCATGGGAGTTTTACAGCATATTGGAAGTTGGATGCTGCAAGCGATTAGTCCGTTACTCACCGTAGCATTCATCATGTTTTTATGTTGCAGATGGAAGCAACTACAGCTAAACTCCACACACACACACTCACAGATGTTATTTCCTCCTATCTTATCATGACTTTCCGAATACCAAACTTTGAACACACTAACCATAAACTTCCTCCCACACGCACATGCGCGCGCACACACACACACACACACACACACACACACACTTTGCTTTCCTAGTATAACTGGCCTTCCTGCAACCCAGTTTACAGTTTTGTCTAGCTAGCGGGTGTAATCCTCAGGGAGGTTTGTGTGGGCGGGTGATTCCTCTTCACTGTAGTCTCTCTCTCTCTCTCACTCACTCACTCACTCACACACACACACACAGTGCCAGATCAGCTGATTTGCGTGACTCGGCCATGGTGTTTTATGCTCTCGCCGATGGAAAGGGTGTTTTGTGTTCCTGTAGAGAAATGCAAATCGGACAACTGCAGCTGCTACATATGGAAATAAACTCACATGCACATACACACACAATGTGAAACTGTTGGAATAGAGTAACAAATAAATGTTGTCTTCTTTCTAGTTCGAGCACGGAGGGGGAGCTGCACAGTTGAGGGTGTAAAACAGGAGCAAAGAGAGTTGAAAGACTTCAGCTGCAGAAATGAAGGATGACTAAAAGTTTCAGGGGATATCAGAGAAAATAAACAGCGAGCCGTTCTATCCAGTATTAATGGTGCTGCATTTGAAAAACATTGTAATTCAGCCAGTTATTGCATTACTTGTTAAACCATGCAATATCATGGACACCTGTGAGAAGGTCCTGACAAAAAGGAGACTTTCTTTTCTTCCCAGTGCAGACTTCCCCTCGACACCATGTGAATGCCTCGTATCATCGTTTGATGGTGTAAGTGCAGAAAAGTGACTGGAGGCTGATGGGTATTTAATTAACGGCTCTCTATTTGTTAATGAATGAGTCAAACTGTTAATCAACCCTCAAAGAGCAGTTTACGTGGACTGGATGTAAACTGCAGTTCTTTGGAGGCTCAGCCTCGTCCCTCGCTCTGCCCCGTCTCGTGTACGTCTCGGGTCTTGTGACTGCTCTGTAAAGTAGGTCTCCATGTCCTCTTCTGAAAGGCTGTGAAGACACGGAGGATTTTAAGTTAACTCGGCTGAAAATCAATCACGGTGTGACTTTTGAAGTCACTCAAAGGGATAGAACTAAGCGCTGTAGTCGTGATTGTAAATATAATGGTTAATAGATGTGACTAATAGTGATACTGTGTGGTAATTTGTCTCGGCTCTTGCTTCTCTTTGACGGTTAACTAAGTTTGTCCTCTTGTTGTGAGATTGTAGAGTAGATGGTGCGCTCAGGAAGCCTGAGGTTGGGACAAACTGCTGTGGTGGTGTGCAGTCACAGCTGCAGAGGTTTAGTATTATTTCTTGCATCAGCTGAAGTGCACTTGTGTATAAAATGGGACACTGCAGGGAGACGGAGCTGCTGGAGGCACTTAATGTAGGCTGAGTGCATGTGTTGTCTTACCTGCTGCTGCAGTGATCGTCACAATGACTGTGACGAGGTTAAATACACACACACAAAGGAATCTTAAATGTTTATCGCCTCTAATGCACAAATAAGGTATAACCCTTAAAAAACTGCATCGCCGTGTGCAAATAGTGGGCCAGGTTAAAGTTGTAGAAGAGATGCATCTCGTATAAGTCCGTTTACTCGTGTTGCAGGGCAGAAAGAGCAATAAACTCTTGGTAAAGGCTTACAATGAATCCAGCAAGCTTTACATATCGCATGTGAGCAACGAGGCACTAAATGATTCATAACTATGCTTGGAGTCTGAGGGACTGTGGGCGGGATTTTCTAACATAATTAAGTTTGATGGTGAAATATATTAGTGGATAAGTTACTGGTGGCTAAAAAAAGCAAGCTTGTGACCAGAAGCTAGTCGTAGTAAGACCTCCAGGTCAGCAGGATGACGTCCAGTTTACCTTTTAGCTCCGTTTTTGGTCTCCACCAACTCCTGAGGGACACATCTTGTTCTCTAGCTGATAAATTCTGCGCTGTGTTCACCAGCTAGTAGCTAACTTTGCTTGTCGTGCTGTTTGGTGCTCGGCAGGTAGTTCCTTCCCTGAAAACAGCTGTCTGGTGCAACTGAAAACAAAGTGTTGAGAGCAGTGAGAGTGACTAAAATAATTAGCTGTAAGTCACTATGAAGTCTGCAGGGTTGGGTGATACTTGTTTGTGGGTTCATCCCTTTCACATTCAAGTAGAAACCAACAAAAGTACGCTAGATTTAAAAATGTTATCTAACCAAAAAACCCAGCCCAGTGTTGCCAACGTTGAAGAGTTTTAACCTAGCTTTAATATGAAATGATTGAACATGGCGCCTTTAAAAAAGGGTTTTAAAATACAATTCCAAACGCGAAATTTGTTGAAAATCCATTTATGTATTGACCGACTCACTGCTGTTCTTCTCTCCCCACACGAGTGATCACAGCACCTTTACACAGTAGGATCTATGTCGCCTAAAAGCCATCACTTCAACAGATGCATGAAGCTGACAATGGTACAAAGTAGATTTCTGAAAGGAGCTTAACATTCCCTCTGTCACTTTGCTCACTGACACACACACACAAACCACACACGGTGTTGGAACCCGAGACCCTGCTCTCTAAAGTAGCCCTCCACGATAATTAACACCGACTTTTGTTCCAGACAAATAAAGTGTGTAAAACAGGGAGGGAGGGAGACAAACTCAACTATGTCTGAGAAAGAAAGAAAGACAAGTGCGTGCGCGTGCGCGTGTGTGTGGGCGTGTGTGTGTGGGCTCCTCCTCCTTCCTCATTCCCTCCCTCATTCTCTCCCTCTCTATCTCCCGCTCCGTGGTGAATGTCAGCAGTGTGGAGTGAAGCTCTTGGTGTTCACACATCCTCCCAGTCACTCAGTCAGTCCGGTTAACAGGTTGGGTTGGTCAGCTTTAGTGGATTGAGTCAGACAGCTAGAGAGGTGTGTGTGTGTGTGTGTGTGTGTGTGTGTGAAGGATGTGTGTGTGAGGGAGGATGAAGCGAGGCCTGCATTGCTGTGGATGGATCCTCGACCGCTGCTGCTGCTGCTGCTACGACGGCACAGGTGGGACGTGTGTGTGTGTGTGTGTGTGTGTGTGTGTGTGTGTGTGTGTGTGTGTGTGTGTGTGGGTGTGTGTGTGTGTGTGTGTGTGTGTGTGTGTGTGTGTGTGTGTGTGTGTGTGTGTGTGTGTGTGTGGGTGGGTGCGTAGCAGGTTACGACAGCCTTTGGCCAACATCAAAGGATTTACCGTGACTCCGATGGAGTCTTCATTGTAATAATTTTCTGAATTTCCCAACCGCTGTCTGTCCCTACGAGCAGACAGCCAGCGTGGTTTCTGCTGAGTTTTGTGCCGAGCTGTCGGCTTATTTTTGACTGTTTGTCACCAGGTTACATTCAGACATGATGACAAGAGGGAGGCAGTACTATGGAGTAAGATCTATTGATCCAGCACTATCCTGCCTCAGATGCAGATCAAGCGTAATGGATCTGTACTAAAGACGTTTGATGTAATGGATACCAATTAACTCGGTATGAATGGGCTTCGTAGATGGATTTAAAGTTGTGGCCGTGCAAAACTTTGAGGTTAAGATTTCCTGCAGTCTTGTCAGACCGGGACTGTGAGGTTCACTTGAGTGCAGGTCTGTGGTTTGTTTGTTTTTTGGT